TGTCCCCAGGCTGTCCCCAGAGTGTCCCCAGCTGTCCCCAGAGTGTCCCCAGCTGTCCTCACCTGATGGGTCCAAACTCCTGCAGTGCCTCCACCAGATCAGTGTCCCCAATGTGTCCCCAGCTGTCCCCAGGTGTCCCCAGAGTGTCCCCAGGTGTCGCCAGAGTGTCCCAGGCTGTCCCCACAGTGTCCCCAGGCTGTCCCCAGGGTGTCCCCACCTGATGGGCCCGAACTCCTGCAGTGCCTCCACCAGATCAGTGTCCCCAGAGTGTCCCAGGCTGTCCCCAGGTGTCGCCAGAGTGTCCCAGGCTGTCCCCACAGTGTCCCCAGGCTGTCCCCAGGGTGTCCCCAGGGTGTCCCCAGCTGTCCCCACCTGATGGGCCCGAACTCCTGCAGTGCCTCCACCAGATCAGAGTCCCCAGAGTGTCCCAGGCTGTCCCCAATGTGTCCCCAGGCTGTCCCCAGAGTGTCCCCAGAGTGTCCCCAGGCTGTCCCCACAGTGTCCCCAGGCTGTCCCCAGATGTCCCCACAGTGTCCCCACCTGATGGGTCCGAACTCCTGCAGTGCCTCCACCAGATCTGCCTCCACGATGCCGTCGATGAGGCCCCGAATGTGAACCACGGGCGATGCCGGTGTCTTGTGGGGATCCTCGTAGTTCTCCTGAGGGAAAAGGGACACAGCGGGGCTTGGGGACATCGCCAGGGACACCCCAAAACCCCGCAGCTTTGGGGCCAAGCCAAGGGAAAGCGCTGCTGGGTTCACTCCCCTGAGAGCCGCCAAGATTTAATACACTCTAAGAGTGTTTTATACCCCAAATATTTGTCCTCCCTCAATGCTTCCCCCCCTCAGCATTAACCCCCATATTCACCCTCTCAAAGGSGGTTTTTTATCTCCCCCTCAGCCCTTCCCGCCATATTCGCCCCCTCAGAACCCGCCTCCCCGCATCTTCCCCCTCAGGCAAATCTTTCTTCCCCCTTCAGTTCCTCTTCCCCCTGTTTACCTCTCATTAAAGTCTTTTACTCCTCCACAGCCCTTCCCGCCACATTTACCCCTCAGACCTGTCGYCCTCCATATTTACCCTCTCAGAAAAGCCCTCTCAGCCTTTGCCGCGATATTTACCCCCCTCAGACCCCTCTTTCCCCCCTCAAGGGGCTGTTCTGCCCGCCATCCCCAGATAAAACCCCTTTCCCGCTTTCCTCCCGCTCTCACCGCTCCTCCCGCTCCGGCCCCGCCGCCCGCTCCCCCCGGCCCGCCGGGCCCGTGAGGCGGCGGCTCCACATTCTCGGTTTTCTGGCGTTTAGGAGCCCTCCCGCCTTCGCCACCGCCGCCGCCGCCGTAGTATCGGCCAGAGCCACCGCCGCCGCCGCCCGCTGCCATCTTCCCCATCTCGGCTCCGCGTCCGCCGCCCTCGGCGCCCTGAGGGCCGCGCCACCGYCGCCGCGACATGGCGCCCCGCTCGGTAGTCCCGCCCACGACACGCCCCCATTGGCCCGCCCACACGCCAATCAAGGCAAACCGCGCATCTGATTGGCTGTCAGTGTTCCCGCCACACCCGTACCGCCTCAAACCGTTGTGATTGGACTAGAGGGAGAGAAAACCCCTCGCCGATTAGCCTGGTRRRCTGTCAATCAACRAYATCCTGAGACGYTCATTGGTCGSCGCGTGCCACGGTCCGCCCGCCCACCGCGCTGATTGGAGGAGCGGCTGYCWTTCAAACCGAGGCCCCGCCCTTCTTCTTGCCCARCGCGCAGATCGCGCCTCCCACTTCCCACAGCGCCCTTCGGCAGCGGCGCCTCCGCCATTGCTGTAAAGGGGCGTCCATCAATGTTATCCGGCCAAGATTGGCTCGTCTCGTGCAGCCCCGGCT